TTTTGTAGGATTTTATTTTCTTCTGTGATGCTGTTGCTTCATGGGTGAGTCCAAAGGATGACCTGAGAGATATGTTTTATAAGGTAGGTCATCATCATAGGAAAATATTTGTTTGGTAGTATATTAAGAATAGTATATTTTAGAATTTGCTTTACTTTATAAGTTGATGTTATTTGTTTATATACTCATGTCATTTCCTAATTTATATCTCTAAATTTTCTATCCAAGTTTTTTGGAAGCTGTAGATTTTAGTAGTTCTAGTAGTTTAGTAATTCTAGTAGTTTTATGTGAGAGATAGGGTTGTATTGATATGGTGTGACTGCAATGGTGTGCCTTTTTCTTCTCTCCCAATGTGTGATAATGTATTTTTTTCAGATTCTCCATGGTTTCAAAGATCAAGTTGGGGAAGATAATTGGCAGCAGTTCTCAGAGCAGTTTCCTCCACTTCTGAAAGAGAGACTTGCTGCATTCTATGGTGTTTAGGCGAAGCAGCAAAACCATACTTGGTGAGTTCCAAGAATGTTGAGAGAGATTATATCCCATATAATTGAAAGGAGAATGGGTGGAGGGGGTGTAGCATTTTTTAATGAAATCGTGTCTCAAGGATGAGAAAGGATAAGAGCCGAGGTGGCACAGTGATTAGAGTGCAGTACTGCAGCTACTTCAGCTGACTGCTAGTTCAGCAGATCAGTGGATCAAATCTCACCGGCTCAAGGTTGACTCAGCCTTCCATCCTTCCGAGGTGGGTAAAATGAGGACCCAGATTGTTGGGGGCAATACGCTATTTAGTATACTGTCTTTGGGGTAAGCTGCCCAGAGTCCTCGGAGAGTGGGCGACATTGAAATATGAATAGTAGTAGTAGTAGTAGTAGTAGTAGTAGTAGTAGTAGTAGTAATAATAATAATAATAATAATTTTTAAAAAAAATAGAAATTGAGAAGAAAGGGGTAGATATTCCGGCTCTAATCTCTAATCCATCGTGATTTTGAAGATCTAGCCTTTTCATTTTACTTTATGTATTAGGTTTAATAAATATACCAATAAGACTTTAATGTCCACCATAACTAGTGGTAGTGATTTTTATTGCTCATGAATTGTGGTCAGTTTCCACTTCTAATTGTGGCTGTATTAATTTAACTAATTACTCTGCATGATGAAAGTTAAGTAACTTTGATAAAACGAATTTGTAGAAAATGGTTCAGTCTTGTGAATTCTGTCTTTGTTATTGACTACTTTTTTTTAATTCCGATAATCTTTTTCTTTCCTCAGGTTCCTGTGTGCGCTGGGAGGGATACTGGGAACTCGTCCATAACCCAGTGTTGCAGATCCCTGTTAATGGGGGGTTAGGGAGGACGGGAAGAGCATTGTGGGACATAAAATGACCGCTCCCCATCTCCTGAAATTTACAAAGTTGGGGGGGAGGGTGGGCCTCCATAACCAATTGAAACAAAAACCAGGGTATCTCAGTGGCAGAAGGAAAGGCCTCTTTATTCAGAGGCCATCATAGATGGAATGGGGTGGGGTGGGACTCGGCCCTGCGCTGAGAAAAGGGAGCAAACTTAAACTGCAACACTCTTGAGAAGGGGATCTAACTAGGGGCCATCATAAAGAACTAGCTAATAATAATAAAGGATAGGTTTAAGATGTTAAAAAGGATTTAAAAGCTACAGTGGTTTAAAGCCAGCTGATGAAGAGGGAAGGGTTAAAATGTAATCCAAGGGGGTTATACTACTGTATATTTCCAGTCACTGGGATTCAAGAGATCAGCTATTCTTCACCTTTTCAAGACTGCATGGTGACCAAGAAGTAGATTAGCAAATCTGTGAGTAGCCCATAATGACTAAGTGTAAGCATTTTCATCTAGGAACCTTAAAGAAACCTACAAAATCTTTTTGCCATAATAATTGCCATGGCACTATGTGCTAGAAGTGATGCTCAGTGCAAAGGCAGCCTATGACCTTGCAGGGACCTGCTAGCCATCTAGGGAGCAGTCTTTTTCATAAGAAATACTGTTGGAGAAGCATGTCTTCATTTTTTTTAAGATGCCACAGTGCAATGAGTCTTTTACCCTGTTGTTCAGCTGTTACTTTGTGACACTGCTATTACATTGCTTCAGTTGCAGGAGGCAGGAAGGAGCAAGGAGGGAAATTTCACCTGGGAATGACTACACAGGACAAACGGGTAGAAAACAATGCATTTTTAAATGGCTCGTGCACAACATCCTGCACTCTTCTGATCAGAGTGGTATTTTACATGATGGTAATTTACATTTTCTGTCTTAAGGACTTCTTTACCACATTCACCATTCTGGCTTACAAAAGAAATAGTAAACATAACAAAGTACAGAAGAATGATTAAACAGGGAACCCTCCATGAATGATCAGGGAAAGCTTGTAGCTTTCGCTGCATACTTAATGGAGTTGCTGTCTTAAGAAATTCTTATCAGATCCAATTACACTATTCTCCGACAATGGGGATTACTGAATGCTTTTAACATAGTTAAAGCCATAGATTTTTAATAAGAAATGAACATGTTGAAGTAGAAGCCCATTTTCCCAAAGGCAGCTAGGATGTGGGGGAAAGGGAATACTTAATGAAACACACTTTTTGGAAAAAATGAATGCTTGAGGAGAGGTAATACTCAAAAGGAACATTCTGCAGAATAAACAAGGACAAGATTTGTGCAAAGCAGTGTTTGTCTACAGACAGCTTGGTAACAAGGAACAAGAGCTGAGCTACATCTCCAGCTTTCTTAGCAGATCCCAATGGAACTTCGGCAACATCAGGATTAATAGCCAGACAACTAGGTTGAACTGTGCCTTGTGTCCTGCATTGCTTCTGAGGGTGGTAAACAAAAGTGGTGAGACTACTTAGATGTTAAAGAAGATTTATGTGACAAAAAGGACATCTCTTTCGGGGGTTAAAGTTATACTTTCTGACAGTAACTATGGTGACACTCGGTACTGTGTATGAATTTTTAAAAGTGTATTTGTGAGATTGCCCAGTAACTTAAGCTTCACTGATACACCTATCTACATTTTTCTTTATATCTCTGGCCTCTGTTTCCTATGTTAATAATTCTTGCAGTTCTTGGAATTTGACATAGAACTTGCTGGGGCATTACCATTAAGGCTTTTGTGCCAGAAAATCATTTCATTTTGGAGATGGCATATACCTAGGTGAAAGCTGCTATTCTCATTTTTGGATCTGATTGTTAGGAGGTGGGGCACATCCTTGCATCTCTGCATCTCCTCAAAAAGGTCAAAGAAACAATAGTAAAATTGCAGATAGCAAACTTCCTGAATTCATCTTTTTAATAGCATCAAACTTGAGCAGGTCTCTGAAAGCAATCGGCTAGTTCTTTGCATTTTAATTGTTTTATTACAAGTGTTCCTCCTTGTGCTGTATTCTCCTTGTCCTGGGGGGAGGGGGAGCAGAGATTCTATTGGTTTTTAAATGCATGGGAAAGAAATATGCATATGTGGAGGTGGAATCCTGGCTTGTGCTTTGAAACCAAGTTTCCAGGAATATGAAAAGAAGGCTGTGAACTCTACCATCCAGTGAAGTTTAAGCTACTTGGCCTGACTGCCTCTTGAAATGGAATTTGTCTTTTGTACAAGTGCTTCTAGTATTGCCTCCTGTTTGTTAATCCTGGATTTGTATATTTGTAAATGTGCCGTAATGTTTCCAATGGTGGAACTGCAGTGTACCTAGTGTTGAAGCAGCTGCTTGCACCTTGCTCAAATGAGATTTTTCTCATTTTTATGTATAATTTTTTGTCAACTAAAAAAAATTCCTGTGACTCCAGTTTCCTTGTTTCTGACACTTTCTTTGTCTTAACTTAAATGTTTTTCATTATATTTTCCAATGTAATGATTTGGTGTCCCCCCAAAATTCAGCTGGGCAGAAGAATCCTGAATTCTGTATTTCCTAATGCTCAACTTTTATTAATTTTTTCCCTTGAAGTGCCTTGTTGAAGATAGTACTTCTGTGGAGGATGGGAAACTATTTTTTTCAAGTTACTTCAGTTTGTTGGTAAAAAGATTTGCCTTTTCAAGTTATCATAATACAATTTGTTGGTCGAATGAAACACTTTTTGAAAAGATGCACTTGAGTAATGTGGAATTAGAATTCTAAATTATACACAAACTCAAGATTATTTCCTTTCTAATACAGCTGTGCTAGTGAAGCTGCTGGAGCCCTTTGATAACCATTATTTTGCAATGAGCTCAGAAGATAACTAGATTTATGCAAATTGTCAGGCTTTCAGAAAAGAGGAAAATTAGAGGTCACAATAACTGTCTTATAATGTATCCTTAAAATCAGACAGCTGTAACCACTTTCCTGTTACCTGGACTTCAGGTTTTAAATGTACCTAGCTTGGGCAATACAATATACATCAGAATTTTAGCCACTAACCAATTTTCTGACAAGATTTTGTTTCATCATCTATATTACAGATTTGTTACTACACAAGTCAATGCAAGAATTTACCAACTCTATTTTATATTTCTGGACACGGTTGTTCTGGAGCTCCTTTAAACTATATGGTAGTCATACATGTGTAATATTTAATTACCAAAACACATTTCAGTTACATAATTCATTTAAACAAAAGTAAAATGATTGTATAGTTTATGCATGCATTTACAGAATATAATTTTATATTACATACTGGAACATGCACATAACTTCATACATTTGTTCATACATATATAAGGCAATCCTGTCCTGCTGAATTCCTCAATTGTCTTAATCCTCGTCGAGATGTTAAACAGCAGTCCGTTTTGTTAATAGAAAATGTAAAATAATGTCTTTAAAACGCTGCCATAAGCCAGATAATAAACAACCAGATTTCTTTTAAAAAGTATGGTTGAGGCTGCCGAAATGCAGCTGCTACCTAAAAGTTCTTGTGCGCATGCTCCGTACTTAGAACCTAGAAAATCGGAGACTTGTGGAAGCGCCTCTCCTAAAAGGTTGCTTTGCGTCATCAATTGGCGCCGGAAGCGGTTGCTCCTTGGAGACAAGACGCGCGAAGGCGGGCCTGACCTGTCAGGACGAAGCTTTCTTAAACCGATGGTGCCGGTTCTTCCTTTCCGACGAAGCGGCTGAGGCAGGTTGCCGTGAGGATTAGGATCCTGGCTCACTGCTGGGGCCGGGAAACAAGACCCGACGTTGGGATTAACCTTTTAACTCCGTGGAGCTCCGCATCTGCAGAACGGAGCTCTTCCCAGGGCGCTAAGGCGGGCGTGACCGCTCTTCGTATGCCATGTCTGCCTGATCGGAGGAGTTGTCTTCGGCAACAAGAGCTGGTTTTTGCAGTTGCTGCACTTCCCGGACAGGTACATGATAAGCGTGCGTGGAGGAAGGAAGCAAGAGGAGGAAAAGAGCAGAAGAGCAGCCCTTTTTAGAATCGGCTCTGGGCTGTGTGCGCGGGGAAGAGCAAGATAAGGAGGTTCGGTTCCAAAAATGTGTTTGCTAAAATAATGATAAAAAGTGGGAGAGAAGCAGTTGCTTTTGTGAGATTTGGACTCTGCCTCTCTATGGTGTCAAATTTAAGGATAAGCTGTCTTTCCGGAATCTCTTTCCAGGAAGTCCTTGGCATATTTCTGGGTTTATTCATTAGGAAAAATGACAGCCATTTCAGAACATAATTTCCTCCTCCTGAACTATGCTTTGCCCATAGGATGTGCATGACTTGAACATTCCTGATGTAGCTGGGAACCAACAGTTTTATTTGTGTGGTCTCGGTTCTCATTTTCAGATGAAAGTTTGGAAGTCAGAATGAGAACAACTTTTCTAATCTTATTCTTTTCTCTACCTATGAACATTATTATTTGAAGAGATAAAACCAAATAAGATTATTTCTACATTTATCATTCAGAAGTCGTCATCTTGCTAATTATCTAGGATTTTTTTTTTGAATGTTCAATAGATAATTTCTTTTTACATCTTGTACCTTGAGCATAAAACTTTTATATTATTAATTGAAATAGTGTATTAATTGAAATATCAATTTCTAATAAGGTATAACTTTGGTTTTTATCATTCCTTATCTGAATTGTTTGCTTCTTGCCTTCCTGCAGCAATGGAAACTGTCCCAGGTTCTTCTGTTGAACAGCAAGACTCTGACAATGACTCTGACACAGAGAGCAAAATAGATCCAGATACCCAGGCCCTAGAGTATGTGGAGCGTGTTCTTGGAACTTCAAATCAGTCCAGGCAAGCAACTCAGTGTCTACCTCCAGAGTGTCTCTCAGTAGGTGGTAGAGTCCGAACATCAGACCTCAAATCACCTCTAGAACTGAAAAAATCTTCTGTTGTTGAAGAAACTGCTTCAGGGCTGTTATCTCTTCCTCTAGAGTTGATTTTAGAAATCTGTTCCTACCTGCAAGCCAGATTTGTTTTGCATGTCCTTCCTTTAGTCTGCAAGACACTGAGGGACATTGTGCAAGATGAAGTCATTTGGAGAATTCGACTTTTAAAAAGAATTGGCAATTGCTATCCAATTGTAGAAGGTAGGTGGGTTTTCTTTCTAGCTGTTGGTGACCTATATTTTACCTTTTCACAAGCAGCTTCTCACATGATTAACTTTTGATTTTAGGGGAAGCTGGAACTGGTGTTTTAAATGTAGATGATGTTGGGAGGAAGAAGGAAGCTAAAAGGAGTTTTCCTTTTTTGTCTGAAAAGAAGGTTATCACTAAGAATGAATAGAAATTTCACTCTTGAGCTACTTTTCAAATGCTGTAATTTGTAAATATTGCTGTAACTATTTTGGATAGAATAACAATAAATATTTCCTAGCCTGCTTCTCTTTCATTTTTAGAGTGTTGCAGGTAAGCACAATAATATTGTCTCTGAACTGATAGTACCAAGTCCATTATGATTTAAAGATAATGTTTTTAACATGTTAGTTCCCAAAATGCAATATTAGAATTTGTCATAAGTCACTTTTGCAGTGTTGCAACTCTGGCTCCATTATGTAAAACTCTTGTGATTAGTATCTATCCTTTTTTGGTGTTTAAATTCTGTAAACATGTTAACGTTTATATGTGAAACCACTATGTAAACATAAATAAGACACATAAGCTCTCTATATATTCTCTATATTGCTTAATTTTTTTTTACACCAAACAAAATCTATATGTTTTTTTTATTTTTGGCAGGCAATGATTTTAACTGGCCAACAGCTTGCATTGAACTAGAGGAACATCTCCAACATTGGGCAGAGAGTGGCAAAAACACAGAGTATTTTTCCCTTACTGAAGGGCACTTTGCATCTGTTGATTCTGTACTGCTCCTTCAGGTAAAAACCTGTCTCTGCTGATTTTAATGATGCAGCATTTTGATGTTCTGAAAAGTATATCCTTGAACATCCGAAGTTTAGTTAAAAGGAGTGTGTTGAAAAATGTTCTGCATTTTCATTTTTCTGTCAAAAAATAACTAACAAAATTAATCTGGCCAAACATCTTTCCTCAATGTTATGCTCCATTATACTGTAAGCATAACTACCTCATAGTAGGAGTTGGTTGTATATTTTAGCATTTTATATGAAATAATTCTTTAGATCTAAATGCTGAGTAGAGGATTAACTGGCCACTTCCTTAAAAAAAAATCAACTCTCATTTGTCTATCACTTAATCTAAAAAGTATTCCTTGTTTGCTACTATTGCTTTCCCATCATACTTATTCTTGATTAATCACTCCTAAAGTACTGTATTTGTCAAATCATTCTGATTTTGTCTTTATAATGGGCTTTAAGTTTTATGTTTATTTCAATTTATATAGCCTCCTTTCTTACTTGTGGGTTACATGTAAAAACAGCAGAAAAATAAACATGCATAAATTAAAACAATTAAAACAATAGATTACAAAAATAAAAATGCAGGAGAATATCAACCAATGCTCATAAGCAATGCAGCTATCTTGCAGGCTCCCCACATCCACTGGGGACTTGACTTTTAGAGACTTCCTAAAGGCCAAGATTGGACACAATCTGACCTACGGGGACATAATCTTCCAGAGAGTGGATGATGCAGCAGAAAGGGCTTTCCTCCTCTTGGGTCCTGTTAGATAGAACTCCTTCATGCATGGGACCCACAATATGTTCTTTCTGCTGGATCTGCTGGAATGGGTAAAGGTAATCAGGGGAAGGCAGTCCTTCAAACAACAAAGCCTTGTGCTTTATAGGGATTTGTAGGTCATTACCAGCACCTTGAATTGAACCTGGAAGCAAATTGGCAACCAATGCAGCTCAGAAAATAGAGGTATAATGTGCATCAATCTTGGATGCACATAACTGCCCACATTTTATTTTATTTATCAAATTTAGAAACTACCCATTTCTCTCACAGGAGGACTCTAGGCATGCATATAAAATATTGCCATGTTTTGCACCAGCTATAGCTTCTGAATTAGTGGTGAAATGTAAAATTTGTTACTACTGATTCTGTGAGCTTGGTGGGGGCTAATGTGACTGTGTGGGCGTGGCAAACTTTTTTTTTAACCATTTTTTCTACAACCTCTTCAGCCAAAGAGGTTGTAAAAAAATGCTTTTAAAAGCCTCTGACGATCCCAGCTGAGCTGCACGATCATCAGAGGCTTTTTTTTTTTTTTTTTTATTTTTAAAAGCATTTTTTCGGCCAAAAAGGTTGTAGAAAAAATGCTTTTAAAAATAAAAAAGAAAGCCTCTGATGATTGCGCAGCTCAGCTGGGCATGGGAGGGGGCAGGGATTTTTGCTACTGGTTCTCCGAACCACCCACCACCATCGCTACCGGATCGGGCGATCCAGTCTGAACCAGGAGCATTTCACCCCTGTTCTGAATGCTCTTTAAGGGCAAGCCTATGTAGAACATGTTACAGGAATCCACCCGACATGGGTATGAGTGACAGAAACTATACATAATTTTTTTTTTGTACTGAAAAAAAGTTGGAAGTCTTCTCACTGTCTTTGTGATACTACTGTGAAATATGAGGGACACTAACTTGTATCATTTGATCAGCATTTATTTTTATTATCTTATCCAGGGTGGGGATCTGTGTATTTCTGGCTCTCGAGACCGAAATGTCAACTTGTGGGATCTAAGGCAGCTGGGCAAAGCACCAGAAAAAGTTCTAGTGAAAGTGCTGGGGACAGAGCGCAGTGGAACACACAAGGTAACTGGAGATTCTGAAGCAGATCAATGCATTAAACATAAATATTAAGTATTATTACAGAAATTCTGTATCATCAACCCCCAAATTTCCATCTGATAGCCCCATTCCATTGTTTAAATCAGAAAATAAAGTGTAACGAGTTTCTGTGTGGGTGAGGTGTATACAGGTAGCCCTTAAGTTACTATTGTAACTGAGCCTTCAATTATAGTCATAAGTAATGATGGTGATATAGCAGGTCACCATATGACCAGAACCAGTTTTATGACCTGTTTTGCAGCGGTCATTAAGCAAATGCAGCCATCATAAAGTGAACACTGTGGTCATTATGCAAACCCATTGTTTGCTATGAGGCAGTTTTGCCAGAAACCAGAAGTAAATGCTGGTTTCCTGCAAAATTGTGATTCATGATTATGTTCTTGCGGGGTGTTGCAAATGACTGTAAATGTGGGCCAAGAGCCCAAAGTATGATCACATTGGGGGAGCAGACATCATCATAACTATGTTATGGGGGACCCATCATAACTTCAATCAAGTTGTTAAGTGACTGGCCGTAAGGCAAGGACTACCTATATGTGTTCGACATCACTCATGATTTGGGAATTTTCTAACTAATGGCTGTATAGCCATTAGTTTTTCCCCTTACGTTTACATCAGAACCTGACGCTGGCATCTTAACGGGTACGTGGACTTTCTCTATCCACTGCAGAAGATATTGCACTGAGGCATCACCATAGTAAAGTGCTGAAGCATTCCCTTCCTTTTCATTGGGAATGGTCACTCCCTGCTCAGAGGTTAGAGAGGACTGAAAGATCTTTTAAATGCCATCTGTTTCCTGGAAGCAACAGGCCATATTTCTGCTAGGATAGCATATACCTCATGTATATACCTACACTTTTCTTTGTAACTAGCCATAAAAAAGCATGGGCCATTTTAATTTCTTTTTTTTACAGTAAATGACAAAGAAGGTACCAGGGAAGATTGTAAAAGGGGAAGGTTTAATGTTCAAAAGAGGGAGCCTTAAACTAATACTTTATTGAAGCACCTTCTGACAACATTCAGTCTTTCGGGGTAGGAGCTTATCAGCACGCCACATCTTGCCTTGGGAATCTTTGCCCACTCTCCCTTGCAAAAGCATTCCCAATCTGTCAGATTGCAAGGGCATCTCCTGTGCCCAACCCTCTTCAGGTCACCCCACAGATTCGCAGCTGGATTCAGGTCTAGGCTCTGACTGGGCCATTCCAAAACTTTGATCTTCTTCTGATGAAGCCATTATTTTATTGATTTGGAGGTATGCTTTGGGTCATTGTCATGTTAAAAAGGGAAAATCCTCTTTATCTTCAGGATTTTAGCAGAGGTTTTGTGCCCAAATTGGCTGATATTTGGAACATTTCATAATTCCCTCCACCTTGAAGAAAAGTAGCCCCAACACATAATGCTGCCACCACCATGCTTCACTCTGGGTGTGGTGTAACTTTTGAGGATGTGCAGTGTTGTTTTTGTGCCAAACATACTTCTAGAAATCATGGCCAAAATGTTCACCCTTGGTCTCATCAGACCATAATACTTTTTCCCACATGCCTTTGTCAGTCTTGATGTAAGTTTTTGCAAAATGTAGCCAGGCTTGGATGTTTTTCTTTGTAAGAAAAGGCTTCCATTTTGCCACCCTACCTCATAGCCCAGACATAAGAAGAATATGGGAGATTGTTGTCACATGTAATACAAAACCAGAACTTGCCAGACATTTCTGCGGATCCTTTAATGTTGCTATAGGCCTCTTGGCAGCTCCCAACCAGTTCTTGGTCATGTCACTATTGTACCATATTTTTTCCACTTGTTAATGACTCTTCACTGTGCTCCACGGTATATCCAATGGAAATTTTTTAGTGTTCTTCTCCTGTCCTTCTCCTGACTGATAACTTCCAACTTTGATGCTTTGTGAACTGTTTGTGAACCATTATTTTTGCTGTAAGAGGCAATAGAGTAAATATCAGAAAAATCCTACTAGAACAGCTGAACTTTATATAAGCCTGATCAGGATCACTCTAATTAAGCACAGATGTGTATTGAATACTATTTAATATAAGTTTGAATGCGATTGGTTAATTTTGAACACAACTTATTGAATACAACCCTACTTATAAGTGGATATGAACATTTATGAAACCACATTATTCTAATCTTTTTTTTTTTTGTAATTCTCCCCACCCTCCCAAAGATTTCACTTTGTTTTTCAATTGAATTGTACAGCTTAAGAATACTGAAGCAATTTATCTTGGTTTGATTTTTTTTTTCACTTGAAAAACCTAGCATTTTAACAAGGGTGTGTATCCACTGTAGATCAAAAAAATTGTGATACCAAATTGAAACTGAGTTTCTATTCTACAATGATGTATATTTATTAAGCTGCTGTATCTTATTTCATATATAACAGGAGATTGGTTGTCTTCAGAGTTTTTCTCAGTTATATGTTTTGCCGTGTATAGCAATATGAGGAAAAAGCAGAAAGAGATAGAAAAGAAATATTTCTGTAGTTGACCTGGAAAAGTTAATTGACCTAACTGTAAGCATTTGTTGTACTTTTGTTCTTGTTCTTGCAATGTGTAATCATTGAAAAGATTAGCTGGGGTTGTCATATATATTTTGTCTCTACTTCCCCCCCCCTTTTTTTTTTTCTCCTCCCATTGCCTAGGGGTGGGTTTGGTCTCTGGCTTCATGTGATAACTGTGTATGTTCAGGCTCCTGGGACAGCAAAGTGAAGTTATGGGATATAGCTGCTGATGGAAAACAGTTTGGAGAAATCAGGTACTGTTGCTGCTTATACACTATATTTATTTGGAAGAGTAAATGATAAAGGAAAACTAGATTCAAAGAAACAGTATTAATAATGACCAGAGAATAAAGATGTTGGCTTCAGTCCTTAATCAGGGCCCTAGAGAAATTTAACATCCTACTTCCCAAAATCAAATAATGACAAAAGGCCTAAAATAGTACAAGTATCCAGTCTTGAATTATAATAAATGTCAGATAATTTCATCTAATTTTTTCTTGTAGTATTTCCCAAGGATTTGTTTAAAAAGACTAGATTAATGTACAATTACTATTAAATCAACATAAAAAGGAAAAAGAAAAAAAGACTAGACAAAGGGTTGTGAAGGAGCATTGGAGGGTGAATAAGGACAGGAACTGATGCAGACCTACCCAGAGCCAAAATATCAACTAAAATTTTATTTATTTCAGTTTATGTTTACTATAATGTAAATATTGTACAATAAGTCTTCTTTCATTTTAACCTTGTATACCTTATCTCTGATATGCATATGTAGCAGCTTGCAGGTGCTTCTAGAAAGTTTAGAATTTCTTTTCTTCCTATCTTTGGGTTCATCCCCTTGTATTTGGCTGTGAGATATTTCAAGGAAAAATATTTAACTTGGATAGGTACAAGCCCACAAAGAAAATTCCAGCTCACTTACATAGTAGCTCACCCTATCGCAGGGAGGGAGGTTATTCTACATAAATGTATTATAGCTGTAAGAATAGCGCAATCTTTTCTAGTCTTATATTTCTAGAATTTCCACACCGACATGCTGGTTTTAGATCTAGAGAGCTGGTGGTTACAAATTTAATGAAAACTAACATAGTGGACAATTGGAATACACTTCCAGATTTATATTGGATGTTTCATATAATAAACTAATTTCTGTAATGGCTTACTTGATGAAGCAGATGGTGCAGATTGCATCATCTGCATTAATTTATGGTGTTGAGTTTAATTTATGGTGTTATGCAAATGCCAAAAATCACCAAGATGATATTCTTATCTATTAAAAGTTCACATTTAATTATATGTATGTATGAATAAATTGCTTTGCTCAATTAATCCATTAAAATTAAAATTCTCTATAATTCAGCATGTAAATAAGTCCTCTATTGACTCTTCTGATTTGCAGTCAAAGGGAATGAAGTTAGGCAGACAGAATTTTGTTAACTGATGCTGCAGCAGAGTGGTTTTTTTCTATTGCTTTTCCACCTATCAGTTGTAGTCGATGATGCTAAATAGACATTCACTGCAAGCAGCAAAATGGGAACTTGCTAATTTATGTTGTAAATAGTGCTAGAAATAATGGAAAACCCAAGGTTGAGCAAGGATTTACTGACTTGAATGTGTGACCATAAAATATGCTTTTTGACACATCGCCTGATCATTTCCTTTTGGATTCTAGTGAGAAAGCAGCCGTATTGTGCCTTTCTTACTTGCCTGACATTCTGGTCACAGGAACATATGACAAGAAAGTGTCAGTCTATGATCCACGAGGTTAGTACCAGTTGTTTCTTTACATTCTGGAGACTTAACATGCCACTGCTTGCTTTCAAACAATCATTGTCACCAGAGTTAAGGCATAGAGGTTGCACGATTGCATTTCAGGTGCTTGATAACTGGCTGGCATTTATGAGTGGTTGCAGCATCCTCCAGTCGTGTGATTAAGTTTTGTTTTGGTTTTTTTGCCATTTTTCAGCAAAAATGCCCATAGGATAAGCTGGAATCAACCATGTGTTTCACTTAATGACTATGTGGTTTACTTGATGATTGCAGTGACATACTTAACATCCATTGCAAACAATCATAAAATTGAGCCTGGTCACATAATGACTCAACTTACAACCTCAATAACATAATCAAACTTCTGAACTTGATTATGGTTGTAAGTCATAGATTACTATATATTAGGGTCTTCTTATCTCAGTGGACCAAGAGCAGTCAGAAAAGAAAGGATTATTCCATCTATCTAGACGTTATATGTCTTCTGTACCAGATTTAGGCATTTTGTGGATGCTCCCAAATTACTACCATGTAGAAGGCTTGCCCATTCACAAGCTGTCTATGAACCAATCACAAAACACTCAGTTATCACAAAGCAAACTATTGAGGTTATTCCCATCATTCTCCCTAGCCACCGAAGATGCTTTCTACTTCTTTACTCTACAGTTATTATTTTCTAGAAAAGGAAGTCTATTTCTGAACATGGTTGCAGTCATCCACCATTTTTATATTCCCTGTGGCCAATGCAAAGCCTGGAAGTACAATATTCTTGAAAATAACTGTTTTGCAGTATACAGTTTTCCGTTTATTTATGTTTAAATCAATATAATTTTGTTAAAAAAATTAAATTAGGTGGGGGTAGGGAATTAATTGGCATCAAGACGTATATTGGTAGGTTAGAGTACGTTGCCTCCCTACAGCTACAATTAATTTCTGAATACTGCCATGTCAAGCAGAAAGCTTGCTGCAAGAAAATTATAATTCCCCACTCTGATTGTTTGGGTATAAATTCTTATGATGGGTAATACATACTAATTTTCTGTATGTAATAGAAACACCCTCCCCTCCCCACACCCCATCCAATTCATTAGGAGTGGTGAGACAGGGAGGAGCTGGCAAGAGAATTCCTAAAGGAAACTCTGCTTTCTCTCCTGCTTGCATTATCTTGATAATTAAATGGCAAACCTCAATTGAAGAAAGAATTTGTATGTGATTATAGTTGAGCAAGCCACACATTTTATAAGATTTATCTTGTGCAGGTGACTGGGCTCTTGTGATGCATCTCTTGGCCCTCTCTCACAGCTGCTTATGCCCCAGTGATGAGCCGCAGGCTTCACTCCAATGCAGTCCTATCCCTTGCAGCTGACGAACACATCATTGTCTCTGGCAGTGAGGATCGAACGCTGGTATGTTTTGACAGGCGGACCAATAGTGTGCTTCAAAGGCTTCAGGTGAGCTACTCAGCTTCAATCTCTTTTTCATGATAAAACTAGCCAATAGTTATATAAGAAAAAAAACCCGGAAAAATCTGATCCTTAACTATTCCATACAATTGTTCATATTTTCCCTTAGATTGTAAATTGAACAGATCTGAGAGAAGTTAGATACATATTCGAATACAGTAAGAATACAGAAAGTTAGATAAGAATAAGCTAGTGTAAAGAGACAGGACTAGATTATATTAGTAAAATAATAGCTAATGCAAAGCTAGTACAAGGAAGTAGAAGATGAGATTAAGTAGGAGATGGAATGGATTTCCAGTAAGCACCATGGTAAAGTTAGACATCCTTGCTGGAGGGGAATAGTGTTTACGGTGATTGAATGTTAGCTGCAGACAAGCAAGTTCTCTCTGGAAAAAGAAAAGATCATGTGATTGCCATTCACACTTTGGACTGCCAGTCCACATAAGTAGACTACAAGAACTGAGGTTTTATGATTGGCTTATGAGTCAAATGGCTAGGAGTTCAGTGATATCATCTAAGCTCACAGTTGTAACACAGCCTGTTATGTACAAAACACTCTACCGAATCTTATTTCTAAATCATCTTTGGAATTATTGTTTACTGCTTGGAAATATTAACAGCAGGTTTTTATGGTATTCATTGAGTGAGTCTCCTCCTCCTTGAAGAAAGAAGTTTTAAATGTGATTTTAGGGACTTGGAAACATACTGAGCGGTTTTGAATAAGAAGCAAAAGGGTGTTGATTTTAGAAAATTAAAAAACATATTTGGAATAAAAATTTAAAACAAATTATAAAAATCCTTTTTGCTTGGGTTCATTGGAGGAAAATGATACAATGGGACTTTGAAGATTGGACACTAGAGGGAACTAAAAGAAAATAAGTAAGCTAAAGGAGAAGTATACTTAAGTATACTTAAGAAGTATACTTAAATTTGATCTAACAAAAAATGGAACAAAATAATGTGGCTGTATATTTTGTTGGACATTTTGAATAATAGACACAGAAATTTTGTCTTAATTTTAAGAATATTTGATACCATAGATAGATTATATCTATGTCATAGAAGAAGAACAAGCTATACCAGATGTCACAGAAGAAGAACAAGCTATACTGGATAAGACTGAAATTGATTTAATAGGGGATTTAAATATGAGAAGTTACAAGAACAACATGGAACAAGATAGTACAGTGGACATAAAAATGAAACTTGTTAATGTCTTAATATTTAAAGCGGACATACAAGTATTGAATCAGAACAGTGAATTGGATAACATTTTCTTACTGGATGTACAAAAGAAATCTGTTAAAGGCTTGAAGGACTTTCTGAGACGGGATAAAAAAATGAAAAAAATAAATCAAATTATAGGACATTATTTGAAGGGAACCAAAAACTAAGATTATTAAAGTATGGGGAAGAAATCTATAGCTGGTTTATTTGAACAAGGTTAAAGTAGGTATTTATTTTTGATAATACTTAATGGACTTTTGCTGATAAGAAATAAATTGTGAGGATGATGAAATATAGAGGTTAAACAATAAGAAATAGGATAGAATTAAATGCATCACATATATTTTTCTAATAACAATAAGAAAATAGTGGAATTTAATATTTACCTGAGACAAAATGTATATATGACCTTACTTTTGTATATAAGTTTTATAATAAACCTACTGACCATGGGACTTGTGTTATTTCATACTTACGTCTGGTGTCATGCAGAACTGAGCCTATGGCAATGATATTTATCTTTTCCCACAGCTGGATACATACCTATTTTCCATGTCATACCAGGGTTCTCAACTATGGGCTGGTGACAATTATGGAATGCTATATGTCTTTGAGAACAATGGAGGGCGTTTCCAGCAAATTCGGGTATGGTACTGATGATAGATCATGGAGGAACAGAGAAATATGGTTCTTCTCTAATTTCCACACATACAACAATTCTCTGTCATTTGATGTCTCACTGCTTTTTCTTTTGTCAGTATTTTGATGTAGGTCATCGCTCTCAGATCACTGGAGTCCAACACTCATTGGGTGCCCTGTATACAACTTCCACTGACAAGACGTTCCGTGTAAGAATTGTGGTGGTATCTAAGTACTTTATTAGGAATGAACAGTAATAGCAAAATCACTTAGACTTATATGCCACTTTATAGTATTTTACAGAAGTCTCTGAGTGGTTTACAATGTCAGCATATTGCCCCCAACAATCTGGGTCCTCATTTTATCAGCCTCAGAAGGATGGATGGCTGAGTCAACCTTGAGCTTCTCAGGGTTGAATTCCTGGCAGTGGAATGCAGAATTAGTCTGCAATACTGCATTCTAACCACTGCTGCACCACGACTCATAGATTTCCAATCTATTTCTGTTTCACATGGGTTCATCAAAAAGTAAATTCTCTTCTGTTTCTGCATTGGTTTATTTTTAAATCTGCACAAGAAGTTGCATGAATTATGTGTATTTTCTTACAAAATATGCATTTCCAAACAATTAGTCCTTAACATGCTTTATATATTTGGTGGGTGCTCTCTTTGGACTGAAAAATCAAATCAAATCTAAAGAATAACTGAATTATTTGTGGCCTGGAAAAATAGTTCTGGTAGTGTTGTGACTGAGGAGCAAAACAAAACAGAACAAAAAAATAATCACATCACAGTAGATTCGATCAGTGGAAGCAAAATGAATTCTGTCCATCATTTTTAAATATTTTACTGAAAAATAAAGCAAGAATGAGATCCTAGTTTCCATAAAGTTTTAGCTATAAACCAAAACATTGGATTATTTCACCAACTCTAGGGTAGCTTCAGATAAAGATGATGAAATAAGGTGAAGGCCATCTTATAGTTTTTTCACATATTGCTTCCATATCACTGTGTACAGATAAGCTCCTTCACTGCATACTGCCTGGCTTTATCAGATTCATAGACCATTATTTTGGAGAGTTGCTTATACCAAATAATTGCATTGGCACAACATTTGTGGCTAGGACTCTAGACTTTACATATAGCAAAGTAAAATAAGGGTTTTTTTTTTCCAATTTGTTATATTCTCGTATCATTTTTAGACTTAAACCTCTTGTATTTTTCTTTCAGATCCATGTTCCTACAGATCCACCAAAGGTCATCTTCTCACAGACCCACAGCTATGTGCTAAATGGGGTAAGGACAACAGGATGGAGATGCTGGTAGATATTATTCTAGGAAAGGAGTGCTGCAGCTATGAAAGGAGGGATCCATTCACTATCGTCATCACTGTTTTGGGTCAAATGGAATTTTATTGTGGGCTTATTGTGGGCTTACTGCTTATCATCCTTTTTTTTTTTTTTTTGCAGATCTGTGCTGAAGGAAATGTGGCAGTAGCTGCCTCAGGTGGTTTGTCCTTGGAGGTTTGGAAACTCAGTATTTGATGACAAGCCAAAAGCCATGCTCTTAAATTCAGGATCATCAAGTACAGTGTATTGGATTATTTCCTCATAGGTTCCAGATTCCTGGTATCTGCTGAATTGTTGTTGTTGTTGTTTTTTTTTTAATATGTTCTTTGGTGCTGAATAATCAAATGTTGAAACCTCAGCCTTGCTTGTCTGAGTAGGGGTAACAGGCTTGTATGGAGGCTATCTGATTCACACTTGAACCTTAACCTTAACCTAACCCTTTCTTGCTGGCCATCTCTTTCTCATTTCATCTTGTTTGGCTGAAACACATATTTGTGTGTACTCTTTCCATCCTCTGGCCCCTTCAAGGTCTGCCCCACTCAACATATAGGAGCAGTATACTCTCTATGGCTTGATGGCCAAGAACTTATTGGCTTACCAGGTAAATAAGCACAGGTCTAAGCATGAAAGGGTGAATTATGGGCAGAGGGGAGGGTGATGATTAGAGAGACTACCCAGCTAACCGGGCCTGGTGAACGTTTACATTTAATTAAAATAACTCTGCCATAATGGCAGATCAAGAGTTATGTTGCCTTTTTCCTCCCTTGTGATAAGCAAAGCATGTCTTAAAGCATGATTTTTAAAAGATTTGGTTTAGAATTAAGAAATGGAACCCACTAAATAAGATTATAGCAAATTTTGACTGTACAACCATTTTCTCAATTTTGTCGTTATTAAATTATAACAAAAACAAGTTTTGAACAAGATGAACTATTTCTTCAGTGACATATGGCAAGGTTCATGTCTTGTGCTCAGCCACATGGTTTGGTTGGTTTTGTTTTAATATTATGTATGAACAATACCACAGTATTTTATAAAGCGTGATTTGTAATCTAGCATTATTGAATTAGCCTTGAGGCTTGTTCAGTATATCATGATTAAAGTAAACCATGGGTTAACATAATGTGAAAATCTAGAATATAGACACCAGTGCAACACAAAATATCAATTGCTGTATTATCATTTATAGCTTTTTTAATTTATTTGTCAGTCCTTTGTCATTTTATAAGCAAGAATCTAAGGACTGGTTAAATTTGAATGCATTTGGATATGTGTACATAAACTTGCTTTTGAATTATCTAACAAAAGCAAATCGATAAGCTAAAATTCTTCCATCTTCTTGTTATCGCTGAGAATTAAAAATGTTACTGTTCTGCCCCAGCTCTGGATTCCCAAGGATTGTGACACACACCAACAGTCCTTATCAAAGTTATAACGTACCAAGAATAAACAAAGTCTGGCAAAGGTTGGCAACCAGCCCAGAAAACAAGATACGATAAGACACTCACTCTCCAAAATGCTCTGTAATAATTACACATTGTTTCCAGCAAGAAATTACTAACTGCGTGTGACTTAAATAGGTTAAGGGAGTGGCCAATTATCCTCAAACCTTACTCTCGAGGAGACCTCCTCCTCCTGAGTAGCCACTCCTGCCTTTTGGCAGCTCTGCGTGCTCGAGCATTGAGGAGAAGCTCCTCCACTTCGCTCTCTCCACTTGAAGGAGCCTCTGGAGGTTCTGAAGGCCCTGGATGAGTCTCTGCCTCTGGCACCACATCCTCTTCAGCCTCCTCGCTGTCCGATGCAAGTGCTGGCTGCACAGGCTGCTGGCGCGACCCCACACCAGCTTCCTCGTCGTCAGGATCAGCCACAATCCGCGCAGGCCGCTGGCGGGCCACAACAGTTACTAACTCTAAGCAGGACAGTGTCATTCTTTTCCTTCTATTTATTTTATTTATTTATTGTAATTTGTTAAAAAAACAAAAACAAAAATAAAATAAAAATACAATGACGGACGATAGGAACATTAGTGCACTTATGCATGCCCCCTCTATGGATCTCTTAAGTATGAAGTAAGATCCACGGAGCTCAATTTGTGACTAAAACTGTGAAAATTTGTAGCTGAGATATAAATGCCAAAATCACGTCTGATTTACTTTGACCATGTCATGCATTCAAATTCACTGGAGAAGGCAATGAGGCTAGAAATGGTGGAACAAGAAGAGCAAGCAAAGAACACGCTGACTTGATAACATTAAATCTGATACAAAGTTGAATATCCAACAATTGAAAGAAGCTGTGCTTGACAGGATAGCAATGGTTAAAGCAACAATAAATGTCAAAAAGGGCAAGAAACATTTGGAACTATAGGACTTTTGCTAAAAGATTTTGGGAAAATTAAATTAATAAATAATTCCTTCATGGGGATACTATTTTATTTACCGTATTTTCCGGCGTATAAGACGACTGGGCGTATAAGACGACCCCCAACTTTTCCTGTTAAAATATAGGGTTTGGGCTATACTCGCCACATAAGACTGCCCCTCTTCCAATGCACACCAAATAAAAATTAAAAAACATCAACTGGCTCACCTACAATGTAAAAGCAGCTGTGCTAGACCCAAAATGGCCCCTGTAACAAGCAGGAACCTCACACAGCCACAAAAAGTCCAAAAAACCAACTTTCACACTTTACACACACAAAATTCCACATACAGCTTTGTGAGATTTTGTGTGTTTGTGTAGTTGGAGTGAAACACTACAGAAACACACTAAATCTCAGAAAGCTGCACAAATATTGTTTTATTTTATTTTATTTTTATTTTTATATGAAAGCTAAATTTAAAACTTCCTAAACTTTAAATGGCTAGGTCTAAAAAAGAACAACTAAAAAAACCCCAATTGACTATTTTTTTTAAAGCTCCCAAAGGGGAAAAAAACTTAACCAATAGAACAGGGGTCTCCAACCTTGGCAACTTTAAGACTTGTAGACTTCAACTCCCAGAATTCCTCAGCCAGCTTTGCTTTGCTGGCTGAGGAATTCTGGGAGTTGAAGTCCACAACTAACTCCTTGCTTGATTGCAGGCAGGGAGTTGCTTGCTTGCCTGAATAGATTCAGGCAAGCAAAGCAAGGCAAGTGTTGGGACTAGCAGCTGAGGTAAGCAAGCTGGAGGGGGAAAACTTTTTCCCTTTTACATGGCTCTGGCCATCCCAGCTGAGTTGCAGGGAACTCAGCTGGGATCGTCAGAGCTTGGATCCTCAGAGTAAAAGGGAAAAAACTTTTTTCCTTTTACATGGTTTCTGGCGATCCCAGCTGAGTTGCGGGGAACTCAGCTGGGATGGGATCCACCGTCAGAGCTGGGACCGTCAGAGCCATGGTTCTAGCGATCCCAGCTGAGTTGCAGGGAATTCAGCTGGGATCGTCAGAGCTGGGATCCTCAGAGTAAAAGGGAAAAAACTTTTTTCCTTTTACATGGTTTCTGGCGATCCCAGCTGAGTTGCAGGGAACTCAGCTGGGATTGTCAGAGCTGGGATCGTCAGAGCTGGGATCGCCAGAGCCATTTAAGGCTCGTCAGAGCCTTTCGGGCTGGTCTGCCTGGTTACAGGAGAACTACACCCGGCGTATAAGACGACCCCCGACTTTTGAGAAGATTTTCATGTGTTAAAAAGTCATCTTATACGCCGGAAAATACGGTAGTCTATCCAAATAACAGAGAAATAAGTCTTTATGGTGTCAAAAAATACACACTAGAAGGCAGGAAAATAAAAAAGGCTACTTCTAATTTTTAAATTGGAGAATAAGTATTGGATTGGAGAAAATGACAGATAATGCTGTGAAGTGTGAATCATTTCAAGATACTTGAAGAATGAGGCCTATTGCAGCTGCAATGTCAGAAATATTTGCTTATGTGAATGTATAATTTAGAAAAGAAGAAAGGAAAGATGTAAAGAAAATGCTTTGAAAGACCTACATGATGAAGACCTGATGAGGACGGAGGTGAGTCTTGAGAGTGTCACCTGGGAAGAGTTTGACCATGTGACTCCTGAGGACGTGGACAGGATTTTGGGGAGGCTTAACGCTACCACATGTTTACTGGACCCGTGTCCCTCCTGGTTGGTGCTGGCCTCCCAGGAGGTTACACGAGGCTGGTTTCAGGAGATTACCAACGCTTCATTGAGTGAGGGGGTCTTCCCATCCGACCTGAAAGAGGCGGTGGTGAGGCCTCTCCTCAAGAAGCCTTCCCTGGACCTGGCTGTATTAGTTAACTATCGTCCTGTCTCCAACCTCCGCTTTGCGGCGAAGGTTGTTGAGAGTGTGGTGGTGCGACAACTTCCATGATTCCTGGATGAAGCTGTCTATCTAGATCCGTGCCAGTCGGGCTTCAGGGCGGATTACAGCACGGAAACGGCATTGATCGCATTGGTTGATGATGTCTGGAGGGTCTGGGACAGGGGTTGCTCCTCTGTCCTGGTCCTCCTAGATCTCTCAGGGGCTTTTGATACCATCGATCATGGTATCATGCTGCGTTGGCTAGAGGGGGTGGGAGTGGGGGGCACCGTGCTACGGTGGTTCTCCTTCCTCTCTGACCATACGCAGTTTGTGCTGATGGGGGGGCAGAGGTCGACCTCGAGGTTCCTCACGTGGGGTGCCGCAAGGGTCGGTCCTCTCGCCTCTTCTGTTTAACCTTTATGTGAAGCCACTGGGCAAGATCATCCGTGGCTTTGGGGTGAAGTGTCAACTGTATGCTGATGACACGCAGTTGTACATTTCTACCCCAGGCCACCCCAATGATGCCCTTGACGTGATGTCCCGCTGTCTGGAGACCGTGTGGATCTGGATAGGGAGGAACAGGGTCAGACTCAACCCCTCCAAGACTGAGTGGCTGTGGCTTCCGACGGCCCGATATAGCCAGCTGACACCATTGCTGGCTATTGGGGATGAGATCTTACCCCCCTCAGAGAGGGCTCGCAACTTGGGTGTCCTCCTGAACTCACGGCTGTCTTTGGAGGATCATATGACGGCCGTGGCCAGGGGGGCCTTTTATCAGGTTCGCCTGATCTCCCAGTTGCATCCCTTTCTGGATTGGGACGCCCTGCGCACAGTTACACCCTCGTCACTTCCCGGCTGGACTATTGTAATGCTCTCTACATGAGGCTCCCCTTGAGGAGCACCCAGAGGCTCCAGCTGGTCCAGAATGCAGCCACGCGAGTAATAATGGGGGCGACTCGTCACTCCCATGTAACATCTATCTTGCGTGAGCTGCACTGTCTCCCGGTGGTCTTCCGGGTGCGCTTCAAGGTGTTGGTTACCACCTTTAAAGCGCTCCATGGCTTAGGACCTGGTTATCTACAGGACCGCATTCTGCCACCGATTGCCTCCCACCGACCAATACGCTCCCACAGAGAGGGCCTCCTCAGGGTGCCGTCAGCCAAACAATGTAGACTGGTGGCCCCCAGGGGGAGAGCCTTCTCTGTGGGGGCCCCAGCCCTATGAAATGAACTGCCCCCGGACATACGAAGGATCCCCGATCTCCGTGCCTTCTGTCGCACTCTGAAGACCCTATTATTCCAGCAAGCTGGACTGACAGGATAAAGGTTTTTTAAATTGGGTTTTGATAGGGGTTTTAAAATGATCTTAGTTGGATGTTTTAAATTTGGCCGAATGATTGAATTATTTTAATAAGCTTTTAATTTTTGTTGTACATTGTTTTTACCATGGCTGTTCACCGCCCTGAGTCCCTCGGGAGAAGGGCGGTATGCAAATATAATAAACTAACTAACTAATTAACTAAGACTTGAAAAAGCGTAGGCAGATTTACTAGAAAATAAAGAAAAACAAGATAGAGACAGCAGTTAATATGGAAATACAAATGACAAGCCAAGATAATGTTCTGGATAACAACTTCTTGATGAATT